CCCCCCCCCCCCCCCCCCGGTCCCTTTTTCTAGGATCTAGCCTCGTTTCCATCTTAAGTCGAAGCAAAGAAAATTACGATAACCTGCAGAGCTACGGGGTACACCGTACGGTGCACCTAAAACAACTCAGATGCTAGGATTTCCGAGCTACATCTGCAGATCAGACTGCTGTCCAATCATGCTGAGGTGTTGAGCTCTAGGGAAAATCTCTTCCTCGAGTGTGCGGCGTACCCGCCTGCAGAATGTGTACGCTCGTGTCGAAGGCTTGTCTGGGGCGAAGCGGTGTCACTGTATCTACTATCTAGTGCTGCAAGCTCCGACAACGCGCTCTCGCCAGGACTGCTACGTATGTAGTGACATGGCATATCCATCTGAAATGGCACCTCTAGATGTTTCTTTGCGCTAAACAGCATTTCCGAAGCTGCAATGGGGTCTTTTGCCCTTTCTGTCTCTCAGCCCGAGAAACGCTCACTTCCCAGGCGTGTACCTGGATGACACGACATGGCAGCTGCATAAAACTGACTGTTCAACCCCATTCCCTAACTGGGACATAGCATTAATTCTCTACAGGTGCATCTCATGGACAAGGATGAATAACTGCCGTGTGACAATTATGAGCCATTGCTTCAGACCATCTATTTAGATACCTATCTTGGAGAAACTGGGCCGTTTATCCACTATTTTCAACTGTTCTCCTCCTCCATTCGGCGTACTTCCAGCCCGTGAAAATGACTCGAGATCAGCTAGATCGGGAACTGACTCTTTACCCCCGGTCTTCTGGCCGAAGACTCCGGGGGGGGTTGCTTTTCTTTTCCTCCCCTCTCTCTCTTTTCCGTATTCCCTGAATGAAGTGCAGCTTGCCTCGATCGGAATATGGTATCTGTACCTTACAGAGGCTGTTGCTGCTGTCGCTGTTTTTTTCTCCCGTTCTGTCTCCACTCTTTTGCCTCCTTCTCTCTCTTCTTTTCTTTTTCTTTGTCCGTCATTGCGTTTCGGTTCTTCTGTCCTTTTTTTGCTTTTCTTACCACTCTCCCTCTATTCAACCGCCTGGTCGTTTGGTCGATGATGCATGATTGGCCTTTCCCCCTTCCCCCTCGTTCCTGATTCCTTGTCTTTGCATTCTCTGTTTTACTGTGGCGACCATACATCATGTCTCTTACTCAGGGATACCTTACTCTGCATGACTATTTACAGATCACCTTGCTTCCTTGACAGCATTTGACAGGAAAGCTGATTTGATCCCATGCAGACAAGCTTGGTCGGTTCATTCCATATATCACTCCTATGGATGTTAGGATGGCCTATCACCTGCACTCTTCAGCTTCAGTCTCAAGACCAGAGTTGCCTTATAATATGTTCACTGTGACCAACCATTATCTATACTTTCTCTTCCCACTTCTCTAATCAATCGTGCTCCGACTTATCGAAGGCTTCCAAAATCCGTTCTTCAATTCTGGTCTTTGAATAGAAGAACCTCTAGTTTACTGCAATAAAGCCAAAAGAGATTATCTTTTTCTTTTTCAGAGACTGCTATGCACCAAATTTACTGATTTTTTGAAGACGGTGGGACTGGGTATCCAGGAGCCTTGACAAGTGTTTAGAATACGACCTACAAAGGAGACACTGTCGAGACTCGGCGCAGCATCCCGTGATAACCTTTACTTTCTTATATGAACGAATTTGGGCTGGTTCGAAAGTTTCCCAACACCAACCGGGATGACGAGCTTTGGAAGACGCAGTACCGATGGTCACGACGGATATGGGTTCACTCATCCCATCGCATTGCCCGGTCCTTACTCTCACGGAGATGCTCATGAATATGACACAAATGGGGTAGATTCATTTAGCTATGCACAGCATTCCATCAGTCCTTACCAGGCTCCCTTCAATGGGCCGTACAACCAGCAATCTGACCTGAGGAACTCACAGCATGTGTCTCCGCTTTATTCGGCCTCTCAGTCCGTTCCACCAACACCAGCACCTGATCAGCTCAGGTATAGACATCAACCATCTCAGTATATGTCGCACTCCCGATATATCCAATCGCCAAGATACTTGCCTATCCGTGAAGTTTTGGATTCAGATATCGAAAGCCAAGAGTCTCGCAATGAGGGGACAATGTTGTCTGAACCTATCATTCCACCGCTGAATGGGTTTCCTGATGTGAGAGAGTTTGATCAGCTGATGAGGAGGTAATCCGGCCCTTAACATGAAACTGATGGTCATCTTCCCGTGCTGACTATTGCAAACCCTAGCTATGTTGACGACCTATCCATCAAGAAGCAAGACAAGGCTCTGATACATTCCAAAAGAGCAAGAAATATCAGATCCGTCCTGATAGATCCGAAAGACACAGCGGTCGAGTCGGCTCAATTCAGGTAGGACTTCCCAATTTATATCACGCGTTATCTCGACAGTGGTATTATCGGTCTATTCCAATGCCGTTCAAAGTCAAGAGTGCCAAGTTTCAGACCCAGGCCACTAAATATATAAATGAAACTGCTAGATTCTGGGTCAAGAAGATGTTTAAACTTCAGGCAATCGGCATCGGCAGTTCAGAGGTCCGTATTTCAAGCTCTTCGTCTATGAAATTGCGGATTTTTTAATGAGAATCTCTCGAGCAGTGCAGGAAGATGATATGTCACGAAGGAAAGCCTGTGGCAATCCGAGAAAAACTTTTTAAAATTTTGACCAAGGCTCATCAGCAATGCCAGCACGGTGGTCGCGATAAAACGTCAGCCCAGGTTCGAAAAATATATTCATGGTATGGGATAGTTTTCCGTTTCTTCCCTTCTGCCCATTCTCCAGGACTTCGAAAAGGAGGCTTCAAGCCCCTGATGTCAGTCATTATGACCACTAAAGTTCTATCTTTCGGCTGATTGTTAATGGATGGTTGAAGGGTTCCAAAGGAGCTTATATCACGCTTTGTCAAGATCTGCCCGACATGTCAAGTGCGTCGTGGAGCCTCGCGTTTGACGCCGCCCAACTCTCGTCGAGGGTCCCCCCGCCTGGAATTACTTTCTCGCTCTCCTAGGCTTCTCTCCCCGCCAAGTTCCAGGCGCGATTCCGCCTTCAGCGGTCACCTGTCACTAGATAGGTCACAGACGGAGTATTACAATCAAGTGCATGGTCAAATGTCCTGGATGGACAGCCAGCATACCTTGGATGGTAGGCCGATTTTCAATGCTGGGCCCACGGGCTCCCTAGGGGGGGGGATTCTTCATACGTTGCAGAATTCATTGTCTATGACGTTAGATCCCTATGTTGGTGCTGATCTGTCCTCCCCCCATATAAATTACAGTTCTGGATACGTTTCTCCCCATGACAGCTCTAGGCCATAACACCGCCCATGGTCAACCTTTTTCTTATATTTCATGTTATTCAGTTGCTTCTTTCTGTTGGTGTTTCTTTGACATGCTTGATGGTCAGTGAAGTCATACTTTTTTAGAGCTCGTGCCCTAATATTAGATGGACATTAATTATTCTCTGAGAGATATGATATCATTACCAAGTAATTTAGATAAGATAGGTGCAATCAAATATGTAATGTCTAGTATAGAAAGTAAGTTGGAAAGGATACTTCAATTTACTATACTCAATACTGCCTAAACTGGGCTATTAGAAACACAATATCACTAACCTAGATCATGAGTCATGATAAATCTACTTAGGAGATAGGAAGGCTTTCAAACAAGATTTAAATTTTGAATGATGTTGGTCTATGAGTCTGCATAGACAGGTCTTGCAAGGGTAAAAGTACTGAAACGTATGCCTTGCCCTACAGTCTTTCCTGGCTAGCTGCTGCAGGAACAAGCAACCTAAAGATCAAAGCCGGTTGCAAAGCCGATTATTAAGAGCGAAGGTTCCCTCTACCATTGGAGTTTGAAATAATACATGTTGTGTTTTCAAGGCTGTTACATATTGATGCTTTTTAGGGGCGAGGCTGCATCCCCCTATTATTCGTTTCTTCTTTTTGCTGCCAACATTTGACCAATTGTATGATTGTTCCCAGTGATTGTCAGTAAATTGCGTTCGTGGATCATGAATGGGGAAAATCATTCAATGTACAACGTGGACAGGTGTAAACCAAGTTGCTAGTCTTCATAAAATACAGTGTTCCGGTAATGAATTCATTCAGGCATCGGGTCGCTTCTCCTGGACTAAACAGGCAGGGAGAATTTCTTTCCTTTCATGATCCTTTGAAAAAATCAATATTGGGTTTCTGAGAGATATTTGAGAGCGATGGGTGGAACATACTTAGTGTAGTAGATATAAAAAAAGTCCGAATACAGCACAGTTTGGACGATACCGGCGACCACAGGGATAAGATGAAAGTAGCCCTCTGCGAAGTAGCGGTAAATCCAGTTGGGGATATATAAGGCACGGTATAGCCCTAATGCAAAAAGATAATGAGTAGTAATCGTGTCAGCTTCGCCGGTTCGTTGAAGCATAAAAAGCTGTGGAAGGATTGCAACGGCTTCGAGCCAGATTGAGAAAGTCCAAAGAACCTAGGAAACGTTAGCTTAGAAGATGCTGCTCATGTAGTTCTATGCCCTGGATTACCTCGGAGACGCTGTATTCACTGGGAAATAGGACTGCTAGAAGGGCACTTATCCCAAGAAGATACTGGATTTTAAATGTATCAACATTTGGATCGTGCGTTGGCTTATACTCATGAAGCATAAGGTAGATTATGTAGGCTGATGAAATAATAAAAAGAATTTTAAAAGTTGTGTTGTAGAATGAATGTGTGAAGCTCCAAAATAGATCTAAAGAGAGAATCTTAGATTAGAATATATGCTGCATATAAGATATAGAATCAATTACTAACCGAGATACCGGGTTAGAAATACCACTAGGTATAACACCTGGGATTTGAATGACAACCCAGAGCAACTCTAGATAGACGTCAATAAGGCAAGCCATGGAAGGAGTCAGCAGAAGCCATACGCTTGAGGATTTAATTTTCTGTATGAGTATGAAGATTGAGGTAAGGTGAGAGAAATCGGCTTTCAATATGATTAGCACTGATAACTTCATAATGATTTTGCAGCGTTTACTAACCTAATAGTCTGAAGATGTTCATTGTAGTTGCAAGGCTCTCGACGAAACTTGAATATATTCGATAGAAGCTCGGTCAGAGAGAGGAATGTGATACTCGAGGAAGCGCTAGTTTCTTCTCTTATGTTGTATGTATGTCGAAGTTCGGACAACATAAAGCCAGGAATAATTTGGAATGGGAGGTTGATGTATCTGTAATGTTGACACGAAGTCTTATGGCATAGATTAGGTAGGATCTGATGAAAGTATTCATTGGAGGGCGACAGCGCGTCTAGTCTCAGAGAGGAAAGTGGATACAAGGGGCTACAGTACTACTCGACTCGACAACGCTCGTAACTACCCGGCGTACAAACTGCAGTGGTTATTTGTTACTTATTAAATTACGCAGTGAGGAAGGGGCTACGTAGCTACCTCAGGCTCTTACATACCTAGTACCTACGAAGTGAGTAGGTAACCAAGATACTGGAGAAATGATAACTACATATCTAGTTAATAAATAACTAGTTAATTACCTAACTTAACTAGTTAATTACCTAACTTAACTAGTTAGTTACTAACTAATTGGGAACTAGTTAACAGATAAGGTGGATAACTAAGGCACGGAAAAAATAATATCCTGACACCTTAGGTATCTAACTAACTAGCTAGTAAGATAACTGGGAGTTAGATTAATTTAATTTAACTACTTCATACTCATGAGCTTCTGATCTGAGGCTGGGTTACGCAGGTGACGACTAGCTATAGGCTATTTATATTCACTCTGAACTTTGAAGAGAAAGCCTATACTCTCATATTTCTATTCTCAAACCTTTGCTTGGTCCTCTGGAGCTGAAACCATAAAACCATAATGAAGCCGAGTAAAAATCAGCTTAGAAGGGCTAAGAAGAAAGCGCAAAAACTCGAGGTAATATTCATTCATTCATAAATATATATATATATATATAACTAAAAATACCAACTAACCTCTGTCAACCCCACAGGCCAAGTCAAATGAAGTTGAGGAACGCTCCTCGGCGAGCAGTGTACCCCCTGTCAAAACCCCGGGTGTTGTACAATCGAATAGTGATGTCGACGTCCCAGCCAATCTCGAGGATCCGCTCTGGGATATTTACCAGAATGTACTCTCCAAATTTCAGGAAGTTGACGCGGAAACTGAAAAAGTAGATGAGACCGAGAAACCTCAAATCTTCTTCGATGATGACAACGAGATTCCGGATGAAGAGGACGAGGGCAAACCGAGATTGTCGAAAAAGAAGAGAAAGGAGCTGAACAAACTATCCGTCGCTGAACTGAAAGCAATCGTACGAAAACCGGAAATCGTCGAATGGACCGATACATCTGCACCAGACCCTAGGCTTCTTGTTCATATCAAGGCTCATCGAAACGTGGTTCCGGTTCCGTCTCATTGGTCTTTGAAACGCGAATACTTATCCTCGAAGAGGGGTGTTGAAAAGCCTCCATTTTCCCTGCCCAAATTTATTAAGGATACTGGCATCTCGGAGATGCGTGATGCTGTTCTAGAGAAACAGGAGCAGGCCACGTTGAAGCAAAAGCAAAGAGAGAGAGTTCAGCCTAAGATGGGCCGGCTGGATATAGACTATCAGAAGTTATACGAGGCATTCTTTCGGTTTCAATCGAAACCAGAGCTTACTCGCTACGGAGAGGTGTATTACGAGGGTAAGGAGTATGAAACTAATCTCCGACATTTACGGCCTGGAGAACTAAGTGACGAGTTGAAGGAGGCTCTCAGTATGCCACCTGGCGCACCTCCTCCTTGGCTCATCAACCAACAACGCTTTGGTCCACCACCATCGTATCCAGCTCTCAAAATCCCAGGCCTCAATGCTCCACCGCCTCCTGGTGCGATGTGGGGTTATCATCCGGGAGGCTATGGCAAACCTCCTGTCGATGAGCACAATCGACCCCTCTACGGCGGTGATATATTCGGCGTTCTTCAGTCGCAACAGAATGCTCAGCAAGGGGAGCCTATGGAGAAGGATCTCTGGGGCGAACTTCAGACTCTGGAAGATGAGTCGGAAGAAGAAAGCGAAGACGAAGATGAGGATGAGGATGTTGAAGTTGAGCCAGAAGAGGATATTGCGCGAGGTGTACAGACACCGAGTGGTCTCGAAACTCCGAGCGGATTTACTTCCAGTGTACCATCAGAGTTCCCGGGCCCTGGAGGTGCGGCCACTGAATTTGATGTGCGCAAGGATTATCGGGGAACCGAAACCGAAGAAACTCCTACGGCAAGAACAGCTCACCAGATAATTCCGGAGAAGAGAGGGCGGGTAGAGGGATTTTTTGGTGGCGACAGGCTTTATGATATCAGTGCTTCTTCCAGCAACCTTCCTGTATTGGGGGCGGAGGAGCAGACACGAAAACGCAAGAAACTCGGGGATGTAGACGTGGCCGTTGATCTAGATGAGTTACAGGCTCATGATGGAATCAAAAAGGAAAGCTTACAGGGTCTATATGATTCTCAGCGACATCAAGAACATCGTCAGAAATGGGGGTTTCAAGAAGACCTGAGTGATATGATTGCGCATGAGAGCCGCAAAAGGCTCCGACCAGAAGAGGAAAGAGGAGCAAAATAATAGTAATGGTTTAATGATGGTCAACTCCTCATCCTGCTAGAAATACAAATGCGTGTTTGCGGTTCTCTTCTTCCTGTCATTCTAGAGACCTCGTAGTTTCTACCGTAAAATATGTGTCTGTCTTGTCATTGTCATAAGAGCATGCTCCTGTCATGAATATACCTACCTTTGATTACCTGAAAGGTGTCTGTTCATCATCAAGCCTGCGAAGGAACCAGAGTATTCGCCCGGACCAAGGCTATATATTATTGAGGTAACTAACTATTGGGCGCAGGTAGCAATAGGCACATTTCATAATTAATATTGGAATTTCCACAACGCGCACTGTGATGCTACAAGCTCAATATTGGGCCAAGTAGTATAGGCAGATCCTAAATAATTAGGTTGGTAGCATGAGCACTGGAAGCATGTTCTATTAGCGGAGAAGACAAGACTGCCGTCGTTCCACTCTTGTTACGCATGAAGCTATATTCAATGAAATCCCGGCGAGATGCTTCGCTACAGAATAGATATAAGAAAATTTTGGCAACTATCCGAGGTTATTCAAATATCAAAGGGCTATCATAAAACCAGGAGATTTTGTATAACTTGAATGTACTGGCGAAGTGGGACTTCATGGAAATATCTCAAAATAATGCGGTTCCGCTGAAATGATCATTTTCCGTCATTCGCTGCAAATGACCTTCCGATAGTTCACTTTTGAGCGTGCTTATGGAGGATTCCCTCTCAAGCCTTTCCCACTCACGGAGTTCAAGTCTCTTGGTATTTTGTTTCTCTGTTACTTGCTCCATTAATCTTTCCTTATCGGACAGCGGATGAGAGAGACGCTTCATAGTTGCAGAATCCAAGCCCAGGGGCAACAGTTTCCCGCCCGGAATCATCGGCAAAAGCCCGGAGATGAGTGTAGACGCTTTGGAAGGCCGGGAATGGTTGGGAACTGCAGAATTGCCTTGACGATAAGGGGAATGTCGATGAAGGTCACTTACCGGTACCGGTGGCGGAAAACTGCCTCGTGGGCCCGAGGGAGGGGGCCGAGTTACAGATACTATATGTCCTCTGCGGGGTATTGGAGTTCCTAGCCAAGAATTCTCCCTCGCATTCGGTCCACCACGGGGGCGGGTCGGTGCAGAAAGCAATGATATGTTGGGTCCACGAACCTGTGGAAAAGAGGCTCTTGAGCCATGAGTAGGGCCGGATGGTGGTAAATGATTCTGTGTCAAATTATGGCTTTTTGGCTGAGTCGGGGCATCTCTGGTAACCTTGTTATCATTTGGTGATTTGGGATTCAATAAAGGAAGACCTGTAGACTTGGTCTTCGGATTCCCTTTTTCCATGGCCGGCGCGATTCGATCCTCAACGAGAGGTACTTTTTCCATCCCAGTATGAGTCAGTCCAGATACTTGTGAAGTGGACTTTTCTTGGCTTCTGGAAGCAATGTCTGGCTGGCTATATTGGCGCGTTTGAGCGGGTCGCATTGTCGGAGATCGACTGGTAGTACTATTATAGGCGGTCTTGCCTGTGTCGCCGTGATGCTGAGGTGACGATCGTGTGGATGTATTAACCGAATCAGCTGCGGAAGTGTAAACAGATGGGGCCCGTCTGGGAGAAGGCGACCGTCTCGCAATCGTATCTCCTGAGAGGGAATGGGGGTGGCCTTTTTGAAAGGGGCTACGGGAACGAGTGTGGATCGGTGGCTGATGTTTACATTCCCATGTTGAGCCTCTTGGGGCCGGTGATGGATGTTCAAGGAGTGTGTTAGCGGTAGGTAGGCTTGAGCGGTCACATTCTCTGTGAAGAGATATTTGGTTTCCTCCTGGCGGTGGAGCCTCGGATACTCGCTTCTGTGGACTTTGGTCTCGAGTTTCATCACGAAAACCTTTTATGGCATTTATGGCATAGGGTGTCTTAGTCCGCCAATTGATACTAGGAGATTTTGGTCTCTCCTCGCGTCGGGGCGAGTGACGTCTTGGAGACCTAGACCTCCTATAGTAACCTGCCTGGGTCTCTCTGCGGGGCGCAGGGCTCCTAGAGCGATGTCGGAAAGGTGGTCGAGAGCGACTTGGGATTCGATGCGAGGTGCTTCGAGCTGGGGGCACCCAGGAATCGGCCGAAAAGCGAGGAGACCGGGCCCTTGATGGTGACCTTCTGTGACGAATGAACCCTGGTGAGCGCCCTGATCGTTCTGGAGGGCGATATGTTTCACCACCACGTCGATCATCAAATCTGCCGAAGAAAAATCGTTAGTCATGTAGTTTGTTTATGCGCGTCGAGTGATATACCTTCTATCACGATCCCATATCATTGTAGGCCTATTGTAACATTCACCTGTATACGGAGTAGAGTAAGGGTATTACTTGACTTTTATCGCACTAGTTGTTTTCTAGCGTCTTGGCAAGGGATTTATGTAGAGTACCTCCGCTTCCCACACGGTGCGCAACACTGGTTACTTAATTAACATTAGTAGCTTAGATTTAAAGGTATTCTTATTCTTACCCTTATTTCTATCTATATAAGATACTGGAGTAATCAAAAATTGATAAATCTTATATATAAGGCATAGAAAGCTACCAATGCTGAAAAAGGTGAAATTTATAACAGTGACAGCAAGGTTGTTTAATAAAGAGGTCATTCAGGTGCCTCAGGCAGGCGATAGTAAATAGGCACACTATACCTATTCTAATTTAGTATAAGAAAGGGGAGAGGGATGTTAAGTATATTTTATAATATATTGGCCAAGTAGGCCTAGAAAAGGGAAGAGATGTCTAATGGTTACTGTTACTACTATAGCTTAAATATAAAGTAGGTGATTATAGTTATAGTATAGCCTTATAATTTAGACTGGCTAAACCCGACCCGCGGGTTGGGTTTAGGGCACTAGATTCCTTACCTGCCGGGTTTCTGGGTATGCCTAGGGTAAACCTATACCCACCCATAGGTATGGCGGGTTTTAATTAGGTAACCTTAGACTTCGGCAGAACCCATGGGGCCCCATGGGAACCCGGACCCAACCCATTGATGGGTCGGGAAATGGGTCGAAATCTCCAACCCATAATAGGTTAAGGTTATTGCTGAGAACCCATAACCCATCATAGGTAACCCATGGGGCCCCATATTGATACAAATAGGACAAACTAAGAAAACTCTTGTGACTGCATAATTAATGCAAAATGATCTATAATTTTAGGTATTCTTATTATATGTAGATGTTGACTACGACAGATATATAGATACTCATTATTAGATATATAGCTTCTCTTTATATTATTAACTTAACTATTTATTAACTATTTTCTATTAATATTCTTATTATTTATATATTATTAGGGCCTAACCCTACTATATATTTATATATTATAGATAATATTTATCCCTAAAAGTTATCTAGTTAGTTAGTTTAATATTATGTTATTATTAGCTTTATATAAGGAGAATCCTTATATTATTTAGCTAAAAGTTATAAGTCTAATTATATCTAATTAATATAACTTATTTATATTAATTTATTAAATAATAAGTTAATCTATTAATAATATTAAGTATTATAAATAATTATATTATCTTAATAGATTACCTATAAATATAACCTTTAATATTAATAAGATTATTCTAAAAGATAAGGATAATTAGCCTCTATAGTATATAGTTATATTAAAATATATATAATCCTTACTTATATAAAAATATATAGATTTAGAATATAAAGATATATTAAAAGAGCTATAAGCTTTAATACTTATATTCTATTAATAAGTAATAATAATACTAAAGAAACTTATTATAATAAAGTAAGCCCTATATAAATATATAATTAATTATTACTATAATAATATAAAATTATATTAAAAAAAATAAGATATAATTATTAAGCTCTATAATTAAATTATAAAAATAATTAATAAATACTTATAAAACTTAATTAATATAATTAAGACTTTATAAGAGATACTAAAGTAGTTATAAATAAAATATATACTTAATAATAATACTTAAATAATATAGCTAGACTATAAATAAGATTATATTTAGCTAAAAATAATTAATAAAGGAAGCTTTAATAAATAGCTTATATATTAAAAGATATTTTATCTTAAATATTATAACTTTAAGCTTAATACTATTATAAATATAAAATAAATAATATATTAATTACTTAAATAAATTAACTTATTCTATTATAAATATATAAGTATAATAATATACTTAATTTAATAGAACTAGATAATTAAATACTTATTAAAGATATTAGTATTAAATATATTAATTAACTTTAAAGAATAGTAAGGACTATAAATCTCTTAAAGTAATAATATAAATATATTTATATTATTTAAGGACTATAATAAGAATAAATTAAAGATAGTATTATTAAAAAAAATATTACTATATTATATTTATAGAAGAAGATATTAATTTAAAAAATATTATTATATTAATAAATAAATATATTTTAATAATTAAGTACTAGATATAAAAATAATAAAGTAATTTAATATTATTAAAGAAAAAAAACTAGTGCTTTATAAGGCTATAATAAGAATATATAAAAAAATAAAAAAGGAGTATAAAAAATTAAATCCTATAATATAAAATAAAAATATTAATATAATGGCTTATTAATACCCTAAAAATATTTTATTAAGCTTAAAGATAATATTAATAGTATTAAATAATATAAAGGGGAATTATCCTCTATAAGATAGCTTTATTTTAGACTTAAAAATAAATATTTATATTTATAATTAATATAATTAATTTATATCCTTTATATCCTTAAATCTTATAATATATACTAAAGAGAGTAAGAGTATTTATTATAAAGTTAAAAGTATTATTATTAAACTCTATATAGTTAATAATAAGATAATAAATATATAACTTAAAGATATTATATATTTATTTTAATTTTATATTAATCTTATATTTATAAACCTATTTAAAAAGAATAATATTATATAGGATTAAGAGGAAGAAGTACTATATAAAAGATATATTAATATTTATATAATAATTAAGAGATATTTATTATATATACTTAAATTTAATAAAATATTAGTATTTATAATAATAATAGCTTAATAGAAGCCTTAAGTAATAGAAATAATATATTTAAAGAAACTCCTAATAATAAAAGAGACTATAGAGACCTAATATTAATATCTAGATTATATTAAATATAATACTATTTAATATTTAAAGATATAAGTTAATAATATAATTATTATTAATAAAGCCTATAAACTAATAGATACTAAATATTATAAATATTATTTATTAATATTAAATTAATAGATATTATACTAACCCTATATATATATAGTAAAGCTATTTAACTAAGTATTATTTAATATAATATAAATAATAACTAGATATTAAGGAGAGAGGTAAATTATATACTTTATTAATAATATAACTTAATTCTACTAGATAAAATATATTATTAATAAAATAAATATTTAAATAACTATTTAAGTATTTAAAAACTAGATAATATATTAATTTAATAAGTAAATAAAGGCTTATTATATAGACTATAAGACCTCCCTTTATAAAGACCTTATAAATATAGTTATATTAAATATAATACTTAAATAGATTATATCTATAATATTAAAGTAAAATCTTAATATTAAATAGGCTAAGGGTATAATTATTATAAGATTATAATATTTATTATATAAGGGATATCTCTTATAACTATTATAACTTAAAGCTATTACTTATATAATTAATATTATTAATAATATACTAATAAGATAGCTAGATTAAAAAATACTTAAGATAATATTAAATAAGTTTATTAATAATATAATTATTAGTATAAAATATAACCTTATTAATATATATTTATATAGATTATATATATATACTAGATATCTATCTATATATTATAAGGACTATAAAAATAAAATTATAAGTAATAGTAAGATATTATATTAGCTAGATAATAATAAATATTATATATATATAGAATTTAATAACTAGTAAAGTATTTTAATACTATAACTTTATTATTAATAAATTAATTAAATATAACCT